TTAAAGTAGTTTTTAATGTTTGAATAAAGCATAATTCGTTTGTCTGTTTTGCACATCCTCCTGTTAATATCTTTGTACATCCGGCACTAAAGTGTTTTATTGTAGAGATCACTGTCATGATATTCATGTTATGTCACGTTTTTATGTCTAGGTTTGGGTGTTTTGCTGTTCTCCCTGTCATGTTTTCCTCCTGGTTTATTGTCTGGGCCTTTTCCCTGTGTTTTTCCTCCTGTCGTTAGTTTCCCTGGTGTGTCTAGTTGTCTGATTGTGTTCACCTGTTTCTCCTCCCCTGTCCGTCTGTTTCTCGTCTTGTGATTACCCCTCCCCTATTTAGAGGCAATGGATGTCCACTCTCGGGAGACGTCCGACAGTGGTGCGTTTACCCAAAGTGACAGACCTAATTTTAGCCCTATTTAGAGGCAATGGACGTCCACTCTCGGGAGAGAGACCTCCAGCATGTGTCCCTGAAATGGGGACTCTGTTTATTTCACACATCCACGACAGAGNTACTTTGTCAGACTTCATATTTATCTGTTGATACCCCCAACGTTTTTTTCTTATTCAAAAGAAGACCTTTTTATTCAAACATTAAAGAATACTTTAAGTTAAGGTCTTCTTTTGAATAAGAAAAAAACGTTGGGGGTATCAACAGATAAATATGAAGTCTGACAAAGTACTTAACGTCCAATATATTGCATAGTTTATTTTGGCACTTGACAATCACCTTCCCTGAATTTGACTCAGGTGTAACTAAAGTCTGATTTAAGGGTTGTTTATATTTCAAAACATTAATCAGAATCTGCAAAGTAACTAAAATAAATGTAGTGGAGTAAAAATACCAGGTTAACCTCTGAATTGTAGTGGAGTAGAACAAAGTAGTTTGCTGCTGTAACAAAAACATTTCCCAACTTAGGATCAATAAAGTATATCTTATCTTATCTTATCTTAAGATAATCGATGGCTACTGCCATATTTGGAAAATGTGCCTCTGAACCTTGACAAGTGCATGTTTCAGGCTTATCAATGAACAACAGGCGGGGTCACAGACATAAGACCAGCTGTTAAATAAAGCTCTTCTGACCTTAGGTGTCATGTGGGTATATTAATTCACCCATTTATTAATTATATGTTTTAAATTTGATAACACCACTGTGTTTCGTATCCCCTAAACCTCCAGGGTGTACACAGCTTAGAGTTGCAGTCCTATATGGACATTTTGCCACTTATTTTTGCTAGTTTTCCCAATATTGCCACCAATTAATAGAATCTCAGCTGATTTGCATGTCGAAAGTGCGTCCACAAGCTCGGTGATGAGCCAACTTCAGTTTTTGCTCCATGTGTTGCAGACTTTGGGTGGATTGATAAATGCTGTTGTCTAATGAGGTTTTGCAGACATGTTGTCTTAGGCAGATTCTAAGTGAGGACCCACATGGGATGTAAAGTGTTTGTGTGCCTGTGTCTGCGACTTCATTCTGCAGCTGTCTCCTTCTGCACAGACCACATTAATGATAGAACAGAGGCATGGGCATAGACTGCTCATTAAAGAGAGAGAAGGCTAGAGGAAGAAATGTGAAGTGGAGAGGATGCAGACGGTGGAGGAGTATGAGACAGCAAAAAGAGAAAAATGAAAATTGAAGAAACTTAAAAGTGAAGATGCGCACAATTGAGCAAGGACATGACTCAGCACCTGCAGGGCAACACTGCTCCTTCCTCTCACCACATCTTCTCGCGCTTTCTTCCTCCTTCCTTTCTTTATCCCCCCCTTTTTCGTCTCTTTGGGACTTCTTCTTTTGCCTCACATTATCACAGCGGCTCTGGCACTCCTGCTGTTGAAGCTCTTAATTCCCACACCTCTACCTCTGCAGTTCTGCTGAGTTAGGCCGATGTCGCTTTTACCTCACAGCGGAAGGTCATCCCTCCATCTCCTGAGTGGTGATGGACAGAGGGGAGGGGGGAGAGAGAGGAGAGGAGAGCATATGGCTAGTTAACTTTAATGCGGAAGCAGATGTCTCTCTGTGTACAGTCTGTGTATGTGAGATCAGTGGAATGGAAATGTGTCATGCTATGATCATACGAAGGGATATTTGTAGTCTTTATTGACAGGGGAGCCGGGGCTCGGACCTACGTGGCTTGCGAAGGGATTCCAGCTTTTTCCACTGTTGCTTTTGTTATGATGAAAGAGAACTTAAGTATTCACATAATCCAATTAATTTGCAAAACGGTATTACATTTAAGGTTGTTTGGACGTTATTTTCAGTCTGGAGGAACACTGTAATTAAAGGTGTAACACTTTTCTTTCTACAAACTATCTACACACTGCCATCGTGTGTGTTTGTGTTTCATAAAGACACACAGCCAGAATTAATTGAACATTGTGTTGGAATAATGTATCTTAATTTGCTGCAAGTCATGCCGACATCAAATAGTCTACCAAAACAAACGTAATCACCTTTTTTATTATAATTTTTTTTTCCACTCCTTTCTTTTTTTAAGCCGCTTATGCAAGACCTCTGCCCCACTGCTAAAATTATGTGAAATGACAGAGAGTTTTGGGCGCGTGAGACCACGGCCTGTTTAACTTTGCATAGCTCTGTAGCAAGCCAAGCCGACGGACTGGGACACAGCTACACAGTTACCCATCAGGCAAGCTGCTCCTCTCCTCTAATGCACATCCTCCAGCCGTTAAAACACATCCTCATGCCAGTTGTATAATTGAAGAGATTTCAACGGACGGTACTGGATGAGGTGTGAGATTATAACCCAGGCCTATGGCCCCACTCAGTCTTTGCTTCTCTCAGCAGAGTCAGCGGGATGCCCGGTGATCCCAGTGACACGTCTGAAAAATTGAGCGGAGGTTTTGCTGTGAAAGTGCCCTGAGGCAATTCTAACTCCAAAAAAATGGGTCTGTGCAAGGTTAGAGCAGGATATAGAAGAGGTCGGGTGTGAGGGTTGGGGGAAGTGTGGTGTTGTTGCCTTCAGAAGAGTGATGAGTGCAGACCAACCAGAAGTCTTGCAGGTGTTGCTGCCTTAGTCACAGGGTTTGACTGAGTGCCACATGGGGAAGAGGAGAGCCTGATGAAGAGGATGCGGTGACCGCTCAAACACACCATGATGGATGGAGAGAGAGACTGTAGCATCTGCCATGCCTGCCAGTATAGGCCAAGCAGAGCATTAGAGAGAGGGGTTTTAAAGCACAGAGTGTACAGTAAGAAACACCTCAGGGTAAAATCTCAAAATGATGTTAAACTTAAAAAGGGGTATGGGACGGGGTTCAATTGTCCGTTCAAAAAATGGCTTAGTCGGTTGGGTTGAGCTCCAAAACATTTTAATAACAGCATCAAAAATAAAATAACGAAACAGCGCACCTTAAACAAACAAAATAAAAGACAAAGGCCGTCCATCACTCTTCAGAGTAGACGTGTTCTGGCTGTTGCCTTCTCTGCAACAAAAACCCGAACACGTCCCAGCTGTTGCCTTCTCTGCAACATTCTTCCGAGTTTCACAGTCCTCACTACCCCAAGGAACAAACACCGTCCCTTTTTAACCCATGGCCCCTCCCACAGGCTCACCGTCCACAGGTGACACAATCAACTCAAACCACATTGTCAACATAAAAAATCCGACCCAAACATAAACAGCTTAACCACGTCTTAACATAATCATTTAACAAATTCACAATCGCACAATAAATAATAAATTGCATGGTTAATTTTTAGGAAGAGAGCAAGAAATGTTTGGTGTGTGGTGTGTGTGTGTGTGTCGGCTGTCAGTGGCGGAGTCAGTCACTCTGTGACCCGCTCCGTCACAGCAGGCTATTTCACTTTTTTTATTTGTTTCATCTTAGTGTCAATTTGCTTTTAAGATGTCTGTCAATGCATTTTCAATCCATCAATTATTAAAAGTAACAACTAAAATAATTGACGATGTAACAACTCAATCTCCATGATGTGAACCTTTTGCACATTTTGAAAATAATTGATAATCAAAGAAATTAGGTTTATTGCCATATTATTGAGGTACAAATGCCTGAATAAATACTTTCCTAAATAAATAAAAGAATGAATAAAAATAATTCTGAAATTAATACATTACATACAATACCCACGGGCCTGACGAAACATTTATATATTTAGAAAAAATTGCATTCCACATCATGATATAATGTGTCTAATTCAAACAATAACACTGATTGGTGACTCTACACCTCACAAATGGTTTTGATTAAATTAATTACCTTTAATCTGCTGCTCTCTGTTCCATTAGGGGCCCTGTGCTATGCTGAACTGGGCACCAGCTTCACAAAATCAGGGGGCCACTACACTTATCTACTGGAGACACTGGGGCCACTGCCTGCCTTTTTACGACTCTGGGCTGAGTTCTTTTTCATCAGGTTTGTCCATTTTAAATGTATTCACATTTAATGAATTTAATTTGGGTGACGGTCTGAATGTTTGCATAGTTAGCCGTTGACTGCGTCTGGTATTTTTGTATTGTACCCTCCTTTTGAGTGTAACATTAAGTGAGTAGCCTGTATAACCAGGGAAGAAAATGACGAAAGAAAGACATTTTTTTTTTATCAATTAATTCAGACTACTTAACAACATTTGTTTATGTCCAGGCCTTCTGTGGCTTCCTATGTGTCCCTGGCGTTTGGCCGCTATGTGGTGGAGCCGTTCTATGCACCCTGTGATGCTCCCACAGTACTGATCAAACTTGTCAGCATCTTGGGATTGAGTAAGTACTTTTATACCTCTGTCTTCTATCCACCATTACCCGACATGGCCATACATAAACATAGTCATAACCTTCTGTTTTTCTATATTTGTCTTTGTGTCTCTGTAGCGTTTGTGGTGGTGGTGAACTGCTGGAGTGTGACCATGGCCTCCCGCACTCAGGTCACCTTGACTTTTATCAAGATGTTTGCTCTGGTCCTCATCATCGTCCCCGGTTTCATCGCACTGGCCAAAGGTGGGAGGGTGCAATTGTTTCCTTATGAGGATACAGATGTCTCTCCAGCTGTTAAATGATCATCAATTCATGTTCTTCTTTTTTCTTTCCAGGAAAAACTGAGAACTTCCAGAACGGTTTTGAAGTCGAGTCAATAACACTGGATAGGTTGCCGCTGGCATTCTATAATGGCCTATATGCCTACGGTGGATGGTAAGAATATTTTATCACAGTATGAATGACGGCTTAAAACCTCTTTATGTGTTCTTATTGTCTTATAATAAACCAGTAATAATACAAACAATTGTTGTGTATCCCCTTTTCCTTTAGGTTTTATCTGAACTTTGTCACAGAAGAGGTCATTAACCCAAATAGGTATATTTGCTCCAACATCTGTCCCATCTTAATCTATATGTTAAGGCATTGTTAACTCATAAATAATATCATATGTCACTGCTTGTTGACAGAAACATCCCGCTGGCAATAATCTGCTCCATGGTGATGGTGACAGTCTGTTATGTGCTTGTTAACGTGGCCTATTACACCATGATGACTCCTGCTGAGCTGCTGCTGTCTGAAGCCGTGGCTGTGGTCAGTGCTGTGCTGCTACCTTGCATTTAAAAGGAAAATCATTGAGAAATAGAAACTGTATGTTACAATGCTCCAATCCTGTGTGTCTGCAGACGTTTGCCAACCGTGCTCTCCAGGGAATGGCCTCCGTGATTCCCTTTCTAGTTGCCCTTTCCTGCCTTGGAGCGCTTAACGGTGGTTTCTTCGGGGCACCGAGGTAATCTAGGAACATATTTTTGATTGAAATGAGCCAGGAATGTTAACGGCCTGATTGGAAGTCTTGTTTTGACTGTTTGTGTTGCAGGATGCTGTTTGTGGGAGCCAGGGAGGGTCACTGGCCTCCGATCTTTTCCATGATTCACATCCGCAGACACACACCATTGCCTGCTGTGCTGTTATTGGTAAAGCACTTATATACTCTTACAATCTATTAATTTAACATTCCACCACAGTCTTCTTAACCCTTTAACTGCCAGCACCAACATTTGGTAGAGCACATTTTGTGTCTTGATATCTTGTTGAAAAAAAAAAAAAAAAGTTTAACTGATTCAGCCAGCTCTACCCTTTGGTTGGCATGTTATGCACAAAACAACCTCTAGATGTCACTGTGGTTTGAACAGAAAGCCCTTCAGCTAGGTGTAATTATGTTTTTGAAACTTTTTTCACTATCTTTTATGAATATATCTGGTTGTATATATTGCTAATTTTCCATAAAAGAAACAAATGTATTTCAGTTTGTCTTTTATTTGAGTTTGATGCATACAAATACTGTACTGTATATGATGATTATTGAAAATGCACTTTTACCATAACAGGCCAGCTCGACCAGTTGGTAGAGGCTCATAAAAACAAAACTGTGTGGTCAGTCGAAAAAAAAAAATGGTTTGTGGTTATATGTGGCCCATTTGATAAAAAAAAATGCAAACGAATAATTTTTCCATAGCTTTTTTCTTGGTCCGGCAGTTAAAGGGTTAAGCTGATAAAGTTAGCTTTTTACATTTTGTTTTTTTGTCAAACTACTGTTTCAACGGGCAAGTATGGATACTTAATGTATATTTGGTTTTAAATCAAAAAATAATAATAAAGAAGTAATTGAAAATGTCTTTGATATACAATGCAATATTATATACTTTTTCATTTTCATTTGTAACACGGTATTTTTATGTTGTATGCACAAATGATGTGATATTTCAGAGGATCTCTAATTAACCAATAACTTGATTTCTAAAAAAGCATATCATATTTGCAATATTTATTATGTCTATTGTCTGTTTCATATCACTTAGCAGACTGAGTATGGATCAGTCATTATACTTGTGTTGTGTCTGCAGTACCCCATGGTGGTGGTGATGTTAATGACAGGAGAGATCTACCAGCTCATCAACTTTGCTTCCTTTTCTCGCTGGTTCTTCATCGCCTTGGCAACCTTGGGGATGCTCATCCATCGATATCGCTTCCCCCTCCACCCAAGACCTTTCAAGGTTAGATTCAGAGGCTTTATTGTCATATAAACAGCAGCTACAGTGTAGATAGGGCAATGAACATCTTAAGTCCCTCCAGCAATATATACACACATATAACACATAAAACGAAACCAATAAAATAGTGCATGAAGAAACAAAGTACAATAAGCTAAATATTGCAGAAAATTAGCTTAATAATAATAATGAGAGAATAATAGGTTAGTGTTTCAAACTGCAGACATCTCCACAATAAAGCGAACTGACCTGTTTTATTTTCACCCAAAGGTGCCACTGGTCATCGCGGTCACCTTCACCGTGGTCTGCTTCTTCATCGTGGGTCTCTCTCTGTACTCGGACCCCTGGAACACAGGGATCAGCTGTGCCCTCACCCTGACCGGGGTCCCAGTGTACTATCTGACCGTCTACCGCTACCGCCTGCCCCATTCATGGAGACGCTTCTTCGGTAGGTCACACCTAAATCTGCACACTTGTCCTTTTGTAAAAATGTTAGGAGAGAATGCAGCAAAGGTAAGATTTGGACGTAGCCCTTTGTATAAAAGTGATGTTTTGTACTGTAACAAAGAGAAGGAATTTGACACGTTTTATCTTGAGTATTGCCAGAATCCAAATCCTTTTCAACACAACTCTCTTTTCTTTCCCCCAGACTACTTGAGCAAGCAGCTGCAGATCCTTTTGGAAGTGGCTCAGCAGGAAGTGCGAACATACTGAAGACCGCTTTCTACTGAATAACACCTTGAGAAGTCCTAGATTACTATTTTGTTACGGGTTTGAACCCGTTTTAGCTGTCCATTTTGATGCTAAAATAACTGTAATGTGCTGTTTTGAGAAAACTATTAAAACTACAAATGACCCAGCTGGTTTATCTGACTTTTTTTGTACAATTTGAGAAAAAGTTTAACACCATTTCAGTTTCAGGAGGGGCTTTCTCTAGTTCTCATTCATCAGAAACATCTAAATCTCTGCTTAAGTGCCCAAGTTCTGTAAGGAACAATCTATAAATGTTTTTTACCTTTTACTCAAGTGTAAATAAATTAGGTATTGCTATGTAGTTTAACAGATGGAATACACATGAGAAGGCTAAGTAGTGTATAGTTCGTGTAAGGCTGGAAACATCTTTATTTAAATGTTTTAATTGTTAGCAAGTGGAGTGAAATCAAAGCCGTCTTTCATCGAAAACAATAATGAATACAAAATGTGCCAACACCAGCAGATTTATTGTACAGTCAGAACAAACAACAACTTCAGAAAACAGAAAAAGGCACATGCTACGAAATCTGTTTGCTACAAACCACAACACTCTTGCTTTCCATTCAGCAGCAACTGTTAACAGATCACTGCAATGCAATCCCTCTCACATACAAACAAGCATTCTGACAAACTTGGAGGAAATATTAAAGCCAAACATTATTCTGTGACATTTTCAGAACGCGGAATATCTCCCATTCTGACCTCCAAAGATGGTTCTGCAAAAGCTATTCTGTTTGTGCTCACAAGAAAATACAATTGCGTCTGAAAACTATTACAAAGTGTGCTAGATAGATACAAAATATTTAGTATATTGCTCCATAAGACGTCCTTAAAACACGGTGCTCTCTGTGGTGAAGATGGTTCTAACCCTATTGCTGTTAGCGCTACTTGTAATCCTCTGCTACGGTTTATTGCTAACAATCTCGCAATCTACAAGTCGATTCGCATCTGGCTGGCTTATCAGGCAATATATTGTCTTTACATTTACATACGCAAAAGCTAAATTATATATTAAAATGTGCAAATCAACATACATTCACATACATAGATATGATAGGTAGGATGAAGGATCAAAAGAAAACAGGAAGACATTCACTTATAGAAAGAAGCCCTTAATGAAATAACCAATGAGAAAGCTAGAAAGTGGAGAGGAACTTTGAAATGGAACTTTTTCCCCCATTTTCTCCTCTAGTGTTTTCATGTGGTCGAAAATGTTTTTGCCCATACTCTACTTAAATTGAGGGATGAACTCGGACCAGCTGATATTAGCCATACCCAGGTCCTCCTCAACCAGATCAGAGAAGCTAATGTCCACCAGGATCTCCCTCAAGCTGTCGTTCATCGTGTCCAGGACGAGGCCCTCCGTGATGGAGCGGTTGGCGGCGCCTCCTCCCGCATGGAGCAGCCCTCCGGAGCCGTCGCTTCTGAGGCCCTCCATGGGAGAGTCTGTGCTTGCAGGGGGGGGAGCGACTGTGAACAGCTCTCTGGGGGAGCTAAACAGAGGACAGTCTTTAAAGGGAGTGCTGTTGAAGCTAAAGGTGGTGTAATCGTGTCGGGGGGTCACTGCAGGACCGCCTGGCGTGCGGATGGGACTAAAGTCTAGAGCGCTCTGGCTCCCTTTGCCCAGGGGGGTCACCTTCCAGGGCTCGGGTAGGGCGAGAGAGGGAGGCTTGCTGGGCGTGGAGGAGGTCAGGTGGCTGCTGCTTTTTACGGGGGTCTTTGAGGAGGAGAAGCCTCGGTCGGGGCTCTGCTGCTCCTCCTCCTCCTGAGGCTCCTCCAGCTCCGTGGTCAGCATCTCCTGGAAAGTGGAAGCGTCGGAGACTACGCCGGAGTCCAAGAAGGTGTTATCGGGGCAGAGGAGGACCGGCTCCTCGTCCAGAGAGTGAACCAGCCGCTGTTTGCGCCGAGAGCTGCTGGCTTGTCTCTTCGGAGGGGCTTTAGGAGTCTCGCATTTAATCGGCACACACACCAGCTCTTCCTTCACCTCCACCTTGAGGTCTTCGTTCTTCTGAGGATGCAGCACTACTGCCGGGGCGTCGCTTTGCATCACCTGTCGGACATAATAGGCTTAATATCCTTTCGCTCCAGGTTATACGTTTAAAGCCTTTTTGCACAAATGCAGCATAACAACATGATAACAGATCAAGGGACACAGGGAGGTAAAAGGTGTGATAAGTAAAAGAAAATAGTATAATAATAATAATAATCCCTCTTGGTAAAATAAAGGCAGACATAAGACTTAAGAGAATTAAATAATAAAACCCGTAAAATAAATAAAACAATTACAACATTTTAAATAATGGCAAAAATAAGATTTAAAGACCAATTGAAAAGGGGGTGTCGCTGAGAGATCTATGAAATAAAATAAAATAAATAAAATCTATTAAATACAAAAATAAAAAAGTGGGGGTGTCGCTTGTAAAAAAAAAGCTGATCTAAAAAGATGTGTTTTCAGTTGTTTAAAAATGTGTGAAATGTCCACTTCACATAAAACCTGCACTTGACAAATGTACCAGAAACATTCCCACACATAATTCTTTGACAATATCCAACCAGACAACCTGATGTTTTTCTAATCGTGCTACAAATCTGCAGCGCATGACAAGAGCTTTACCTTAGGAGCTATCCGCACTCTCTTGGCTCCTCTTGAAGTGGGCCGTTTCTGCTGCAAGCAAGTGGGGGGGTACGGGGCGGGCGGAAGGTAGATGGAGGAGTTGACGGGCAGCTGGATGGGAACCAAGTAGGAATCGGTTCGAGGGAGAAGAGGTTTCATCCTTCTCTCTGAGTATAGAAAACACAACGGTTTAATGAGAATGTCTGACTTTATCTGCCATGTTTTCTTTTTCACTTTTCCAATTTCACTCACCAGAGCTAACTGGCATTTTTCTTGCATCAGGAAGCATTCTCTTTTGTTGCTGGAAAGAAAAAGGAAATGACATAGCATTATTTTACAGTTAAATCCAACAGTGGCCTCACTGTACTACTCTTGACTACACTTAAGTGACAAGCTTCTCTCCCTTGTTTCAGCGTTGGGCGAGCTAGAACAGACACAAGTTAAAGATAGACTTCTTATACATGTCCCTACACTTTAAGGAGAAATGATGGATGTATATCTGCTGCTCACTTCCTCTCCTCCTGTAAGAAAAAGATCTCCCTAGACCTCAGAGTGAAAGTGGATGTCAGATTTTCTGTCCCTTTTCCACTTTCTGCTGCTTGACTGTAAAGAGGAAGACTGTTGGACCTAGAGATTTAAAAGGATCAAGCCATCTTACTTGGTTGGAAAATAAAAGCATTGGCACCGTAACAGGAGCGGTCATTGGATCACAACCAGGCTGTAGAAAAAGATGTGGAATTGAAGAAAACAAAGATGATTTAAAACCAAAAAAACAGTTGATCATGATGAAATCAAAGAATAAAAAATAAAGAACATTAAGGCAAAAACATTCATTCAGTTTCAGTGTTGCATGTATTTTGTGGTCACCTTGTACACCTGATCAAGAGTCAGGCATCGGTTGGCCTCAGGTCGGATAGTCCAGAAAGAGATTTTACCGTCTGGTGACGTCTCACGAATAAACATATCGTGCAGAGAGAGGTTATGGCGGATGGAGTTCTGTAATTATAGAGAAGAAACACAAATCTTGATTGCATGTTACAGTAAGTGACATTTAATTACTTATATCTGCTATATTATTTATAAATTATTATATATAAATTGTTAAAAATCACCTTCCATCCTGGTTTGGCCACCTCTCTGAAGTAAGGGAAGTGGTCTTCGATCCACATGTAAATCTCTTTCAGTGTCATCCTCCTGCTCTTCCCACTGTTAATGGCAAACTGGATCATGGCCATGTAGGAGTACGGTGGGCGCTCTGACATGGGCTGCTGAGCCGACTCTGCATCAATTAGTGCATTTCGCGCCTGTGAAAGAAATAAAGAAAAAGAGTCTTCAATACAAGATCCATCTTTTGAACTGTAGACACAAATGTTAAGATTAACTTGATATGTTGTTTTTTTAATTCTACACAGGGCTTACTCCTCAATCTTTAGTCATTCAAACCTCTTAATTCTGGATTCACTCAGAAATAGGAATGTAAAAAACCGTAAAAAAAAGTACATGCCTGGAAAAACAAAAGCATTTTTGAAAAGAAATTGATCAACTACGAGAGTTAAAACCGACTTAATCCATTAAGCTCATGCAGTTAATATACCATCTTTAAAATGTCTGGCCCATACAAATATTCAAACTGATTAACAACTTCAATTAAGCCGTTACAATAAACTCCTCATTAATACAATATTGCAGTTATCAACAGTTTTACATAATTTTAACTCAGCAGCACAAGTGTTATGTAATCCCCATACTAGAGAGATAACTGTATATCACAATAAAGTGGTGTGCCACTGAAAGGATGGTGTTTAGGGGACATGCTGAGATCAGTGTCACACATAGACATACATGTTATCACATCAGCAGTAAAAGTCCCACTGAGGTGACAAGGAGGAGCAGCTGACCTGAAAAGTCCCTGAACTCATGGTGAGGTTCTCCTTGCCGGCCATCTGCTTGACAGGATCTGGTTGGAAGCCACATGTGTTCATTTTGCCGAGCCACTGAATATTGGTGAGGCTGTCGTCTAAAGGACCACACTCAAGTTCCTTATTCACTAATAAAGAAAGCGGAAAAAACATTATTGCTTCAAGAAAGGGAGGATTAAAGACAGATAACCAAGCTATGAAAGACTTCAAATGTCTCCATACATGCTTTAAGTCCGGTGAGATGTTTAGCATCCGGGGAGCGGTGCATCGTTTCTGTTTTCGCTGTTTGATCAACTGTCGAGACGTCATCCCCTTCAGCAGCAGGCTGGCAAAAAGATCCATTGTCCCGGCTGCTATTCTCACTCAGAAGGATGAATTTGTTCCTCCCCTGGACTCCACACTCTTTTCCTTTGGCAGTGAGGGCCCGGATAACACTTTGAAGGTCTGCTGTTTTGGGGACAACCACCACCTGTGTGTCAGACAGGGAAGGGTGATCAATAATGCGGATGCCATCGGGGAATCTCTGAGTGGCAGCTGGTTTAGAAGGTTCTTTGGAGCCCGATGCATCATCTTGGCTTTTCAATTCAGCAGCTGGTGGATCATTTTGCTGAAAGGGCAACTTTCTTCTTCTGAGGATCAGGGGTCTCCTTGGGCTCCGTCTCATGATCATCAAATGCTCCTAGGAGTTCACTGGTATTCTGTACAACTGTAACACAAAGACAAAAAATTGATGTAACAACCATATTGTTTCAAAACCTCCTAAAGGTCAACTTTTATCACACCATGCTAACTGGAAATAGGTTAGTTTACCTGGCAGAAGGTATGAAATCAATGCTAAGCTAGCTGGATAACAATGAAAGCAGGCGGGTTATAAACCGTTGCTTTGTACGCTTGACTATTTAGATTGACACGAAGAAATTAATGAATATCAAATACCAGCACACATACTGTGCATTGGTAGGTCGAATTATATTCTAATAATATAGACCTGATAGGTGAAATTCAGCTCCGCTTTGACCCTTTTTTGCTTTTTTAGATGCAGTATCGCGCAGATTTAGCAGCCTGTCTCCGGATCACTAGGTTTTGTTCCCTGGCGACACTTGCCTTCTAGAACTACAGTTGTTAAATAGCTGCAGTTGGCGTGTTTTGCTAACGTTTACCGCTGATTCCCTGGCAAACAGCCAACGTTTAGATCGGTTCACAACTGACTTATTTAAATAGCATATAAAGTAGTTAAGTATTTCAGAAAAACGTGGCTAGTGATTTAGATAAGCGACTAAATGTAATCTGAAAGGTTTCGCAGATTATACAACCGATTCAGGTGGCTTCTGTGTTAAAGCAAATAAAAGCGAGATAGCTAACGTTAGCTAGCTATGTGTTGCAACAAGAAGCGTTGCAAGTAATGGATTATTTGTCTTTTGAGGTATGCCGAATTAAAGGCTTTCTTTAAATTATTGGTAAAACATCCCAATTTTTTCTTGCACCGATGTTTCTTTAAATACAGAGGTTATAAATATTAAAATGTCACATTTCCTAAACGGGGTTCAATGTGTCATCCATTTGAGTCATGAGAAATAAATGCACCAACATACAAAATGCATATCATGGAGGAAATCTTTGTTTTGTGGCATCAAACCTTTACTAACATCACATTGTAACATTGTCCTTGTTACAGTCAACGTCAGCTAAATGTAAGCTAAGCTAAGGCAGCTAGCTATCACGCAGGTTATCAGCTAGCACATAACACCATTGTAACAAAACTAGATAAAGCCAAACCTTCATATTACTGTGATGTTTCAGGCAATTCCGCCTTGCTTGTCTCCTGCTAATAGTTGAAACAATTGGCACATAATCGATGTTAAATCAAAGGATCCGTAATATGTATAATGGTTCATTTGGTCTTATTTACATGCTGCCTTGTCGACTCAACAACGTTTTTGAATTTTGGCGCTGTGGGTCCCTCATCCGTCACTCTGATCACGTGGTATACATGTGCACCAATAGCGATCCAGAGAAAATACCATATGGTCCCAACCCCCAATCAGAATCGACGTTGGTGGAAACTATGGTGGAAACCAGGAAATAGTAAGCAACAGGAAGACGGAAAACAAGAGAAGTTCCTAGTAGACAACAACAATGGAATACCTAACGTTTTATTTATGAGTTAATTGTTTGCAATAATAACTATGTCTAGCTCGAAGCATAACATTTAGGTAAGTTCTATGTCGTGCTAGAATTAAAACGTTCAAAAGTACGCAGCTAAATGTTGACTCCTTAACCGTATACTTGGATATCTCATTAGTGTATAGTATTTAAACCAGAAAATGACATGTGTTAAGAGTAAGTGATGTTTTAATTCCACTAGGTGTTCAGGAATGATCATTATTAATGCCCCGTAAAGCCAAAAAGACAGAGAAGCCTCCCCTGCCGTTCCTGGAGCATCCTGTGCGTGGAGCCAGACTCCAAAATGTACCTGAAGTCCGAGCAGCACTCAATCCCAAAGAGTTTTTTACAGAGACACAGAACAGTTCATCTCTAAATTCTTGGGTAAGCTCGTTTATTTTAAACACCAGTGTTCATATCACAGAATGTGTTCTAACTGGAAGTGTCTGCAGTTAATCCTGACCTTTCTGGGGAGTTACTTTGCAGAATTATAACTATTTGATATGTGCCCTCTACTCTTTTTAGGTAAGACCAGAATTTGATCGTTCAGTTGCAGCTGCACTTCCAGTGAAACGAGGCGGAAGAAAAAAGTGCCTCTCTGCCACAAGCATTCTTGACAATTCCAGTCAGCTGTCCAGGAAAAAGAGTGTGTGCCAATTCCCCTCATTATCTTTTCATACAAGGTCAAGAGCCCAATCTAATCAACAAAGGAGTACACACACAAAGAAATCTTCAGAGTCTCCAGATGTGTGTGAAACAGGAAATCAACCACAGGGAGCGTGCCAAATCAAAAGGACTGCACAGCACTCAGACACACCAAAGAGACAGACATCCACATTCAGAAAAAGGAATGTGAAGACACTTTCCAATGGGGCTGCATCCTCCAGTAGGTGTTTGGACCCATCTGAAAATCCATCTATTCAAGTGACAGAGAGATGCAGTATTCCAGCAGATGGTGATGTGACACCGGCCTCCAAAACGTGCAGCACGACTGAGGTTAGCAGTGTCAGTCCACCACCTGATGTTGACACTCCAAAAGTAATTCAAGAAGGGAGTAGTCATCCCTCCTCGTCCTCTCCACACTTGCTACAGGCTCAGCCATGTACACCACCATGTAATCAGCCACCCGAAATGTTAGTGGCTGACACACCAGAGAGGGATTATGGGTTGAAGGTGACATGGAGGAAGAGGAGGGGTCTGATGTTGTTGTTAAAAGAGAGGGGCCATCTCTCGGACTCAGATGTGTTTAATCACAGCTGATTTTGTAAGAAGAATAGAAGGCAATGCTGAAAAAAGACATTGATTATTCATTGGACTGCTTCTTCTATAATTGTTTGTATAAACTACTGTGATGTGTAAGGTGATGATCATATTTCAGTTCATTTACTGTTTACCTTTTTTTTTTTTTTTTGAACATCATAATGATAAATCAAGGATGTTATTAAATAAGTTTCTGCCACCCACCCACTCCAAGCCCTGAGACTTATCGTACAAATTAAATAATGGGCAAATCTAAACTGCAATATCTAAGTTATAATTTGTTCCAATTTATCGAGATTCATCCCAACTGTACTGTATTTTTATAGACTATGTTGCAAATTAGTGACTGCCTTTATATTCATGCATAATTCTGACCTTTTGCAATACAAGCTAGTTGTTTTAGTATTATGCTTCTCGATGTTTATAGAAGATTTGAGAAAAAAAAGGTCTAGCACCTATGAGATGTATATGGTATCACATGCCTTATGGATCTAATCTAACCCTATACAATATTGTCACTTTTGTAATAAAACCATGGTTGCGGCTGAAAGACGATTTGAACTCTGCTGTTGGTGATTATTTGTAATTCTGTTCAACTTAAACCCTATTTTTCAAAATGCGTTGCATAACTATATAGAATAAAAGTACAATTCCAAAAAACAGCAAACTTAACTAGAGAATGCAATTCCTGAAGAAATTGCTAGTGGGAATGCTTTATGCTGAAAATGTGATGCTAAACTGCTATGCTGAAATGTAATGTGTAAGAAGAAAGTGAAGAATTTAGATTAAAATGATACATGAACAGTGGGGGCTTGAATGTGTGATGAGAGAAGAAAATAAAGTAAAAAGGCTTGGAAAAGCCGCAGAATATTTGAACTGCAAACTTGTGAACTAACTTGATGGCAAATGATCTGTCGCCATTGCAACGGCATTTAACGACACCCCTTAATACGCTTAGATGCGTTGATGGCTGCATCGTTACCAAACCTGTGAAGTTTTGGGCTGTTTGGAGTATTTTCACTGAAGTTTTTTGAAAACCGTTTTTCAAGGCGAGCATTGTGTTGCCATGTCAACAGCATTTGAAGAAATCTCAAAACTGTCCCGTAGATGTCTTCATGGCTGGACTCTTACACATGTGAAGTTTGAGCACTTTTTAAACATTTTCATAGGAGTTATAGCGACATCATGTTTTATGGCGAGGGATGCGTTTCCATGGAAACGGCTTATGGTGAGATCTCAGATTCGGCGTACAGCTGTTGAGGCATGGACCGGTGATATACAAGTGAAGATTGGGGGACGATTGGACCGTGTCGATTGGATTTACAGCCACATCGTGTTTCATGGCGAGTGGTCCGTCGCCATGGCAACGGCATTTGGTGACACCCGATACTACGCTTAGATGCGTTGATGGCTGCATCGTTACCAAACCTGTGAAGTTCTAGGCTGTTATGAGTATTTTCACTGAAGTTATGAGAAAACCGTGTTTCAAGGCGAGCATTGTGTTGCCATGGCAACGGCATTTGAAGAAATCTCAAAACTGTCCTGTAGATGTCTNCTCTCTCTTCTCTCTCTCTTCTCTTGATCACCCTCTCTCTTCTCTCTCTTCTCTCTCTCTTCTCTCTCTTCTCTCTTCTCTCTCTTCTCTCTCTTCTCTCTCTTCTCTCTCTCTTCTCTTGATCACCCTCTCTCTTCTCTCTCTCTTNGAGTATTTTCACTGAAGTTATGAGAAAACCGTGTTTCAAGGCGAGCATTGTGTTGCCATGGCAACGGCATTTGAAGAAATCTCAAAACTGTCCTGTAGATGTCTCCACGGCTGGACTGTTAGCACACTGCTATCTGAAGTCTGCTGCTCTGAGCATGTCAGTTGGAGTGATGACATCATCGTGTTCCATTATACACAGGTGTTTATAGTTGAGCTAACGAGCTCTGTAGAGATCAAAGGCTTCATTGTTCTGAATGAGAGATAAACCTCTTACATGTGAACGTTTTGTGGAAGAACCGTAACAGATATCTGTGAAATTTCAAAACGTGAAGGATGTCAAGGAAGTTGAGTATCTGAAGTGTAATTTTTGTGTAGTTTCGGGCAGTGCTTGAATTGGGCCGGTACTCACCGGTACGCAGTACCGGCACTTCTGATTTTTACCCATGTGGTACCGGCACTTCTTACTGAGTATCGGCAAGTGGTACCGGCCGGTACAGCCGCCGGCAATATACGTATATATTGTAAACGCAACGCAGCGCAAATGTGGGTCTGACTCTGCCTCACAGAGGGTGACTGGCTGTCTACATGACGTGGCCTGCCGACATTGCCACTTTCATACAGATCATACTAATGCCCTCGATTGGTCTCTGTGTGTCATTCAAGCTCGGAAGGGTGTGTGTTGGTGTATGTGTGGCGCGAGCGAGCGAGAAAGCGCGCGCACCGGTTACGTGTATTGTTGTTAGCATCTGGTGCTAGCTAGCTGCGCTAACGGATATAAGGAGCTGTTTCAACAACAAGGGTGGAGGGATAGTCCTTTGCTGTCAGACTGAGAGGCTGATAACTACAGCTCTGGTGAGGTAAATTACTCTCTGAGTCTTTAGATAGTTAACTTAGTTTAAGTTATCTCAGTGGGTCTCAAACGGTTCGGTCACCATTTATGTAAACACATATTTCCATTTGAGGGGGTAGTGATTAGTAAAATATGAATGAATAATACAAACAAAATGTTAACTAGGTGAAAAAAGGTAAGATAAACTTGTTGAGAGCTAAAACTAGTCTTTGCTGTTGCCTCAAAGAGGAGCAGGGGGGAGAGGCTGATTCAGGAGCCCAGACACACTCACAACTATAAATGAACCAAAAACAAATAAATAAACAAGTTTCAATGTTTTTTCATATTGGATATTGTATGTTATTGGTTATGGCCATGTACTTATGATTTTATGATTATTTAAATGTATACATTTTTGTTTCATATGGGTGTAGTCTCTTTATTTCCCCCTCAAAATGCACCAGATTGATGCATTTAAGTCCAACATTTAAAAAAAAATCTTACCGGGGGAGCATGCCCCCAGACCCCCATATAGGATTTTAGACCCGGCCCCACTGTTCCCAAATAGATTTGCAATTTTTTTTAAATAGTAACCCATCTCCATATGTTTCTTTTTGGGTCGTAGATTTAAACTAGAGGGCTATCACTTTGTGCAGCAACGCTATTGACAAATAAATCCAGCAAAAATGGCACAAAAAACTGGTAGTGGCCTCAGGGACGAGGAGTCATTTAACCAGCCAGTAGGAGTCAAGCTTTACTTTCTTTTATATCCATAAAGAAAAAGTAAATCTGTTTACAGTTGTTTCATTATGGATGTTGAGAGGTATCCATATATCTCTTCATTTTGCTCTCAAAGTGCACCAGATTGATGCATCTAACTTCAATATTTTAAAATAAATGTTCCCGGGGGAGCATGCCCCCGGACCCCCCTAGACTAGAGGTTGTCAGGTCCACTCCCCACTTATAAAAATAGCACTTTA